CCTTCCTCTCTGTAAAAAATCAATAAAATATATTTAAAAAGTGAATATTATCTCTCTCTCTCTTCTCTCTCTCTCTCTCTCTCTCTCTCTCTCTCTCTCTCTCTCTCTCTATATATATATATATATATATATAACCAGTCAACTGGTAGCTATGATGCACACTGACCACCAGGGGGCAGATGCTCAATGCACAAGCATGGAAACATGGAACAGACTGATGAATCTCAGAGGGGAGTGGGAGGGAGAAGGGGGAAGAGGGAGAGTGGGAAGAGATTAACCAAAGATCTTATATGCATACTCGAGGCCTGGCATGCACCGCTGGGATCCCCCGGCCTGGCCTGCGTCCTCTCGCAATCTGGGACCCCTCAGGGGATGTCAGACTGCCAGTTTTGGCCCGATCCCTGCAGGTCATGCCAAGGGACCCCACCAATGCACAAATCCGTGCACTGGGCCTCTAGTATATATATGAATTAAAAGTCCTGTATAAGTATAATTAATTCAAGAACTTTACAGGAAGTAAGAAATTTTCTATGCCTGATTAATTTAGTGAGATTAATGTATTGCAACTATTAACACATATAAACTATTTCACCATGAACCACAATTTATACAAATGTATATACAAAGAGTTGGATGGCTTGAATAAAAATATTAAACAATAAAAATAAAACATTTATATGTATAATAAGGAATTAAATGTTCATTGTATGGATATAGTGCATTTAGTTTATTCATTAATTAATGGGCATTTGGGTTATTTCCACTTTTGGAGTATTATGAATAATGTTGCTATGAACACTCATATACAAGTTTTTGTGTGGATGGATGTTTTTCTTGGTGGGGGAGGTATTTACCTAGGAGTGGAGCTGCTGGGTCATATAGTTACTTCACATTTAACATTTTGAGTAAGTGCCAAACTGTTTTTCATAGCAGCTGCATTATTTTATTATCCCACCAGCAAGATAAGAGGGTTCCAATTTCTCTACATTCTTGCCAACACTTATTATCCTTTTATAATTATCAATAGAGGCCCGGTGCACGAAATTCATGCACTGGGCGGGGGGGGGGGGGTCCCTCAGTGTGCCCTGTGCCCTCTCACAGTCTGGGAGCCCTGGGGGGATGTCCAACTGATGGCTTAGTGGGCTAGGAGAGCAGGTTTAGCAGCACCCCCGGCAAGGTTTAGTGCACTTCTGCTGCGGAGACGGTACCTCTGCTGTTGGTGAGGGGGCTTTAGGGGGGATGAGTCTGACCCTGAGGGGCCGCTTAGGCCTGCCTCCACCCAGGTCTGGAGTTGTAGGGAGGAGAGGCGTGCCTGGCCCCAGCAGAGGGGGCCCAGCAGCGGCAGGCCATGGGCCTCGGGGGTGCTGATGGGTTGTCCCAGGCGTGCTATTGTTGTGGGCGCCCCTGGCGGGAGGGGCAGGGGAAGAGATTGGGAGCCGGAGATATGGGCTGCAGCTACCCCCAAGGCTGGGTCTTCTCCTGTCTGGTCAGCCTCCCTGTCCCCCCGGGGGTATGGGGGCTGTGGTAGGGTGTCCGTGCAGGGGGATTGGAAGAGCTCCCGGTGGCCGCTTCCTCTTCCCTCTTTGCAGTCCGGGCTCCTGTCAAGCATTCTCCTCAGACCCCCGGGAACTTGGCTCCGGCCGCTCTGTCCCTCCATGGCTCTCTGCAGCCCCTGCCCCACTCAGCTCTCCCGGCCGCCCTCCTGTCAGGAGGCTGCCAGGATGCCCTGCTGTGGGGCCACCGGGGAGTATGCCCTAAGCCTTACCTAAGCCCCTGGCCCTGCACGCACGGGCCGGTGGGCCCCCCTCTTTGCTCTTCGCTCGCCACACTGGCCTTCGCTCGCTGCTCCTGCCCGGGGCCAGCCGGCTTTGCTCCATTGCTTGGTGCCTACATATGCAAATTAACCACCATCTTTGTTGGCGGTTAACCACCAGCTTTCTTGGCAGTTAATTGCATATCGCCCTGATTAGCCAATGGGAAGTGTAGCAGAGGTACGGTTAATTACCCTTTTTGTCTTTCATTAGATAGGGTCATTGCCATCCTAGTGCGTGTAATGTAGTATATTACTAAGGTTTTGATTTTATTTTTACTGATGACTAATGATGTTGAGCACCTTGGCTATTTATGTGTCTTCTTTGGAGAAATGTCTATTGAAATCCTTGGCTCATTTAATTTTTTTTTAAACATATTTTATTGATTTTTTACAGAGAGGAAGGGAGAGAGATAGAGAGTTAGAAACATCGATGAGAGAGAAACATCGATCAGCTGCCTCCTGCACATCCCCCACTGGGGATGTGCCCGCAACCCAGGTACATGCCCTTGACCGGAATCGAACCTGGGACCTTCCAGTCCCCAGGCCGACACTCTATCCACTGAGCCAAACCGGTTTTGGCCTTGGCTCATTTTAAAATTGGGTTATTTGTCTTTTTATTTAACTTTAAATTTGTTATATATTCTAGATAAAAGACCTTTATCAGATGTATTGTTTACTAATACTGTCTCCGCTTCTGAGGGTTGTCTCTTCACTTTCTTGATAGTTTATTTTAACTAATCAAAGGTTTTGATTTTGATGAAGCTCAATTTCTCTATTTTTCTTTGGTTGCTTTGCTTAAGTGTCATTTCTGAGAAATGTCCCCTAATTAAGGTCGCAAAGGCTCATTCAGCTGTTTTCTTCTAAGAGGTTTTCAATTTTAGCTCTTACATTTTCATCCATATTGAGTTAAGTTTTGTATGTGTTGTTAGGTAAGAATCTAAATTCATTTTTTTTGCATATAGATATTCAGTTGACTCAGCACCATTTTTTGAAAAACTATTATTTCTCCATTGAATGGTCTTGGCACCATATCAAAATCAGATGACCACCACAGAATTTACAATACAAAGAGTGAACCCTAATGTAAATCATGGACTTTAGTTAATAAATATCAATATAGGTTAATCCTTTGTAATAATTGTGTCATAAGATGTCAATAATAGTGAAAACTATGCAGTGAGATAAGGGGTATCTGGAAACTCTCTGTACTTTGTTCTGTTCTAAAAAAATAAAGTATTATGTTTTAAAATTAATTTTTTAAAAGTCAATTGACCATAGATATATGGGTTTATTTCTATTCTGTCAATGTATATGTCTATCCTTATGGAAGTACATTGTTATATTTTTTGCTGTAGCACTGTAATTACTAATCCAAGAAGTGTGAGTCCTTGTAAACATGTGTTAATAGATACATAATATAAAAAGTAAATCCTGCCCAGTCAGTGTGGCTCAATGGTTGAGCATTGACCTATGAACCAGGAGGTCATGATTTGGTTTCAGGTCAGGGCACGTGCCTAGGTTGGGGGCTTGACCCCCATCCAGTAGGGAGGGTGCAGGAGGAAGCCAACTGTGTTTCTCTCTCATTGATGTTTCTTTTTCATATTTTTAAACATATTTTTATTAATTTCAGAAAAGAAGGGAGAGGGAGAGATAGATAGAAACATCAATGATGAGAAAGAATCATTGATCAGCTGCCCCCTGAACATCCCACACTGGAGATCAAGCCCGCAACCCAGGCATGTGCCCTGACTGGGAATTGAACCATGACCTTCTGGCTCATAGGTCAACACTCAACCATTGAGCCATGCCAGTTGGGCCTCTCTCACTGATGTTTCTATCTCTCTATCCTCTCTCCTTTCTTCTCTGATATCAGTAAAAATATAAAATTAAAAAAACAAATATCTTTAAAAAGCAAATTCTGATATCAATAATAAAGTGTGTTTTGGGGAAGTAAAAGTGTTGACTTTCTGTGTGTAATTGAAGTCAAGTTGTTTTTAATTTGAAGTAGACTAACTTGCTGGGTGACTTGGACAAATTTTCTATTGCTTCATCAGTAAAATGGTAGTATTTACATACTTCCAAGGTTATTGTGAGGATTAGGTGAAATGATAAATGCAGAGTATTTAGCATGTAAGTGCTCAAATACACTTTAGTTCTTCAAAATATTTACCGCACTAACTGCCATACAACAGCCATTCATTATTCTGGACCTAATATTAGTCAGTGTTTAAAAACCATTAAGACAGTGGCTATATATCTTCAATTCATATTCCTCACAGTGCTTAGGCAGTCACTTACCCATGTTAGGTCCTCAATTAATTTGATTAAGTACATTATCAGAAAATGTTTGTCACCTTAGGTGTGGGAGGATTTCTAAAACAAAATGAAAAGTAGTGATTATAAAAGAAAAGGTGAACTGCATTATAATTAAGAACTTTTATTTATCAAAAGATACCACAAGAGTGAAAGATGATCCACAAATTGAATACAACATGGACAGTAAACATAACTGAAAATGAATTAGTATTCAGAATTTATTAAAAAGAAAATAATTCCTACAAATTAATAAATAGAAGACAAATAATCCAGTAGAAAAATCATGAAGAGGCAATTCACAAAAGAAAAAAACAAACATTTCCAGGAACACTAGGTACTCAGCCTCATAGTCATCAGGAATAAGCAAAGCAAAATTACAATGAAATAGTATCTTATACCCATTATATGGGCAACATTTTAAACCTCAAAATATAAAGGTAAAGTAAAAATATGGAATAATGGAAACGCGAATGTTTCCATGTGGGCAGTAATTGAGTAACTACTTTAAAAAAATAACTTGTTACCTGTGTGCTGACAACAGGGATGGATGTAGCTATGGCCCCTGGGAAGGCAAGAGGGTGGGGCTGGAAAGGAGCACAGAGAGAGCTCCACTTGTCTTGTCATTCATTCTGCTGCTCGATGAGGTCGTGGGAGTTTATTACTCTTTAAAATGTATGTCATTGAATAAGCTATTTTCAAGATATCAAATGTTATATAATAAAATATTTTGAAAATGAAAGATTCGACAGATACAGTGGAGGCTTTGCATTTTATTTATTATAATTCACAATAAGATATGAATTACAAAAATTCACTATGGATGTAGCTCACATGGCAGGTTAGTAAAGAAAACACATTATTTTCTTTTGCTTCATCTTGTCTCACCATTCCCAGAAGAAGTTTGAGGTACTTTCGTGAGCTGTAAAGTATTCATAGACAATATTTTTTCTTTTTGACACAGCAGTTTGCAATTGAGCATTATTTTAGTTCTTTCCAAAAGTTTTGAAAGCAAATTAAACAGAATAGCAATCCAAGCAAGACCAAAGGCATACCAAGGTAACATGAATACGGCGTATTTTAGTGAGTACGTCGCCTGAGGACCTACACCTAAAAACAAAAAGTAAGTCACATATAAATCATTGGAAGATGATTTTGCCCCTGATCTTCTCTTGACCCTCATAAAATATACCACGTTAGGATAAACCCATAAAAATGTCTACATTTTGGAGTCTAATCACTGATTATTAAAGGCCAATTAGAAATTAAGAAGTGGTACTTCTGAAATGAATACCATATTCAATGAGAATATGGGATTATAGTTACAAACTTTAGATTACATTGAACTTTTTGGTAATAAATTTTGGTAATATGATTACCAAAATTTTGTTAATATAATTTTTGGTAATATATCTATTATATAGAGAGAAAAAAAACCTCTATATCTATGAATGATTTGAAAGGCAATTGTGCAAATATTCCAAGCTGACTGAATATCTCACAGAATAGATAGGTACCTAGATGTGTCATAAACTTTTAGGACATATTAATATGATTTTTTTTCCTTTCCTTGCTGTGAGGTATTTAAAAAATAAACATAAACTATAAAAACTTTTTTTTTACTCAAATTTTGTTTATAAAAATGATATGGCCATCCATGAATGTACATTCCAACTCTGCCACTGGTTTATTCTGTATGGCTACAAACATGCCAAATTTTTTTCCAACTTTTTTATTGTAAAAAGCAATTTGAAGTAATAATAAAAAACACAAAGAAGAAAAATTCCAGTAATTCCAACAATCATCTCACACTATTTTGAGACTCAATAACACTAGTTCCATTCCTGCAATCTTTATGTTATTTATTTTGCCTCAAATATCCTTAAAACTAATATTGTATATCAAAATGTAAATAATCACGTGAACTTTGGTCACATTCTGACATTTGCTAATAAAGAAAACGTGTCCCTCAAAGAACACAAGGTAAACTAAGGGCTACTCCACAGAAGAACACATTTTAACTGCATTTAACCTCATATTAGAAGAAGGGGAAGGAGAATGTAAATCGGTGACATAAACTAGAAAACTTAACTTTATGAAAGACAGTATAATTTTATTGACTGAGATGAATGTGGAAAAGGTTGCATTTGTTTTCTAGTTCAAAATGGCACATTAATTAGAGTCCCTTATCCAGCAGCCTTTAAATTTCTAATAAAGTGTCTATGAAGTCCCAGTTTCAGTTAGAAAATGAGGGAAATAGGCTAGGTTTTCTATTCCACAGTAAAAACAACAAAAAAAAGAGGGAACAGACAAAACCAAAACCTTACTTATCAATGGTGTTAGCAAAAAACAGTGAGTGCAAGAAATTCAATGAGCTAAATTCTAGAAAGAAAATAGTTCTTCACAAATGAGCTGAGGCAGCTTCCATACCTGACCTGGGCATGTATGGGCGCAGCAACCCAAGCAGAGGTGCCAGAGACGGTGAAAATTCCCAAGGACAAAGCAAAATTTACTCTTCCTTAAAAGACAGCTGGGCCCACAGAATGAACTGGAATCCAATAATACCAACCACCCCAAAAAGATTGTTCAGCCAAATAATTCTCCCCACACCACCATACCAAATTTGCCAACATTTTACCATTGGAAAAGGGCTAGCCCAAGGCATTCTTCAGTGTGGCTGCTTTTGTCCCCACACAATACCATATGTACCACATTTACCACAGTCTCTTTTTAGTGCCATCTTTCTAAATAAAGGGACTAATAGAGATCATTCTATTTTTGTGACCTAGGGATCAATAAACAAATACCCAGATATTCATACATGTCCTTTCTAGGAATGTAATCAGAAATTAATCAACAGTAGAGCTAAAAGGGGGATATAAGTATTCCTCCTGGACTATCAGTTATTTTTCACTCTCTGACTGCTAAGTTGAAGACTCGCCTTCAGTCATTCCTGAAGCACCCAGGAAGGCTTTGTAGATCCTCATGGTCAAGAACATTTTCTTTTTCCTAGTTGCCATCATAGCATTACATATTTAACTCAACTATGGCTTGTTGCCTCCATTTTTAATGGTCTCTTTATATGTCTAAATCTTGCCCACATCAATGTGTGGCCCTTATAAGCAGGAGCCGAGTTTTAGTCCTGGTTGACTTTGAAGCACGCATCACCTGAGACTCATATGGTAAGAAAGGCTCAAGAAGTACTGATTCCTAGATTTGTTGAGTGATTATTGACAACAAAAAATCAACTAGTTCGAAGTTTCCCTCACCCAAGCTATTAAATAGTAGATCAAATTGAGTCCTGTTGGTCAAGGAGCTTGTCCAAGTTGACCCAGATAGATTGTGGTAGAAGAGACATCAAATGTTCAGCTCCTTGGCTCTGTGCTTGTTGTGGTAGCATACTGATCGCTCAATGTAGGTATGAGGCCTGGGTATGTATGCATAGCGAGGTATTATACCTATGTTCTTTGGGCTAATTTTTAAAGAGTATGTTAATAGTAAGAATGATGCCTAAGATACTAATTTGAAGCAGAGATGAATCAAGAATAATAGAAAGGTTTCTCAAAATATATAGCCTGAAATTTGCTTTGTTCCTTTAAGGAATTTATCAACCCAAAAAGGCCTTGTAGAAATAATCCTTTATACAAGAGACTGTGGAATATTTTACTGTTGAATTTTAGGTAAGTACATTAATACTTAAGGTCTGGGGATCTTTATTGCCTCCTTATTCAGTGTATTTATGCGAAGGTGAGAGTGGACTTATCTACTGATAAAGACACGGAGCATGTATTGCATGGGATTCAACCTCCGTGCCTACTATGTTCATTACACATGAACTTCAAATATCTGTATGAGCAAATGGTGACATGCTTTGAGAAATTTCTCTGTTCCATTTCCCCATAATTAGTGTACTCTGTGGGCTGAACAAAGAAAGGTGGATGGAAAGGAATTATTTTGGGATCTTTCATGGATTATCAGGTGATTAGAGTTTCTCAATTGTTTTGGCCTCTACTCTGATAGATAAATGCTATATTTCTGATTATACTTTTACTTCAAATCCTGTGGATTTGTGACTATGAATGCTAATACAATTCTAAGATTAATATTAGTTGACTTACCAGGTATATAGTCACCAAACCCAATGGTACTTAAGGAGATAAATGCAAAATATAATCCTTCATTGTATGTCCAGCCCTCTGTAAACATGAAAACTACTGGTGGTAGCAGGATGAAAATGAGAAGTCCAGTTACCAAGAAAAGGATGAATATGCGAATTTTAATTTGTCTCTAACAAAAAGAAAAAAAATAAGGAAGTAGGGGAGGGAGGGAAAGAGGAAGGAGAAAAGGAGGAAAAATATTAATAATCCAACAGCAGTCAGGAAGCTATTATCAACTAAACCACCATTTGCCCTTGGGACCAAGGGCTTGCTTGGATATCCCTACCACACTCTGACTTGCAGACTGCCTTTGCGTCTGGAAGTATTTCCCAGCTCTGTCAAGTGAATCATCTCCCTTATGAATCTCTGTTGCTTAGCCGTTACTTCATGCATTTTGTTGCACTTTCACATTTATTAAGTGTAAAGCAATCTCTCCCTCCCAGCCCTCCCTAGGTCTCACACTACAATGTTCTTTTGCTATGTGACCTGCTCACTCGTACCTTCAGCTCTGGGTCTCACTGACTATGCAAAAAGGACAATCACCACCTGGGAGTTCAGGACATTAACTTTTTGAGACAAATAAACAAGTCATATTTTATTAAGAGACATTCTAACACCTCAAATTGTAAGAGAAAAATAAATGTATTTTCCCATCTAAAACCTGGATGTTCTATTTCCAATTCTATATTACATTAGTTGATTAAATGCTTTTTATGAAATAATTCATTCAACAAGCATTTGTTGAGTTTTACTGCTAGTACCATGAAAGATACTCAATATACATATAAAAATATGACAGTTTGTCCACGTAGAGATTATAGTTTTGTCAGGGGAGAGGAGAAACAGACAAGTAAACTAATTAAAATAACCGGTTTTAAACTTTTATTTATAGAGCCCCTCATATAGCACAGACACTATGCTGAGGGCTATACATAAATTTATATACATTATGGTAAAGGGACATATTGTAACTATTTTCTTAAATTTTAATGCTTATTACAGTGATTGCATTGGAGTGTGGGGTTTGCAGTGCTTTCTAAATTTGGAGGGATATGAAGCTGATGCTATGAAATTCTTATGTCTTGTTTCTCTAGAAATTTGGAAATATGGATCCATTATTGACTTTGGAAGTGTGCCAACCTATATAACATACCTGGAGCAGAATAAAGCATAATTAGAGGAAAATGAAAGAAATAGATAGCTGACTTTTAGTATATATTGTGGCCTATTAAGAAGTTTTGGAAACAAGAGGAGATTTATATTACAAATTTCATTTTCTGTGAGAAGTACTGCTAATAGCCGCTTTAGTTTAACTTTGTATAGTGGTGGCAAACTCAGAGCATTCTGTATCACTGATAAGAGTTTTATTTGGGTCATGCTATTATCTGGTGCACTTGAGTGACCCTGTCTGACCAGTTTGTTTAGTCATATTTATAAGCATGAAATAAGATACAAGCTTGTCCTCTTGTAGGCTTTGAAAGGTAGCATCCAAGAGATCTTGAGTTTCTGAAATGGCCAAATCTTTGATACCAGACATAATTACAGGAGTGAATAACATGGCCTCAGGAAAGACAAATGGGCAAAATCTTTTCAGATGCTGTCTGATCTCCTCCCTTGAAGGAAAACAACAACAACAAAACTTGTCTGGTTGAACTATTTCACAGAGCATTTTGGTTTCTAAAGAATGCTAACAGCCCTTTCTACCCCTCCTAGAATCCACTCCCAAGAGAGAATTGCTGGTATGAATGGGTCAAGTACAAGAGCATTCACTGACCACCACTATGGGAGGAGTGGTCAGATGACCTCCCAGGAGTTTCATTCTCTGGACTCCACTCCTTTGAGAATGAGGAAGAAACATCAGCCAGGACCTGCCCTCTCTCAGCACTGCTCTTTCCTGAGGCCTGTTTAGACATCAAATTGGCCTTTTAATTATCACTCTTCAACCGGGGATGAGAGTTCCGAGAGGAAGGGAAAGGAACGTTCGGCCTCAGTCGTCTACTCAAAATATTAGCTGGGTATAAGGAGTAATTGCTAAAGTGCAGCCTCATTCACAAGACTACCTGAAACAAACCTTCCTGGCAATAAGAACAAATATGTGCCTGTTCTTGTCCTCTCTGCATATCTCTTTCTGGACTATCAGGAATGGATCCATGTCATCTCTCTTTATCTTACTTTGCCCCAACTCAACACAAACTTGCCTAACAGTTTTCCAAACAGCCTCTTCTAATTATATGCTTTTGTAATCTATAGCCATAAAAAATGTCTCACCTTTCACAGTGTTGAGAAAGGAATTGTGAGATAAAAAGAGCTCAGAACCCAGGATCAGAGGAGTTGAATTCAAGTTGATAACTTCCTCTAGAAAATCTAGATGTTAGGTTTTATATACTTACTTCATAGGGTGGTTCAGGAAGTCAAATAAAATCATGAAACTGTATTTATACTATGATACTCTACCATAGTATTATTTGAAATAATATTCCTGTTTTCTGAAGAAGGAAAATAAAGCACTAAAGATATTTTGGGTTGACTATCCCTTTTTTTGATCAAGAATTCTATAAAAAAGGGCAAACATACCAAATATATACATTTACATATATATACATTTATATATACACACACATATATAGTTATACATATATGTATATAGAGAGATTCTTTTAGCATGTATTTAACAAGAATATATAAAGTGTTGTGTGCTTATTCTATGTAAGGTTATAAACCCAAGCATGTGTAAAAAAAATATTTAGTGAACATTACCTCTGTCAGACCCATATTCCGAAGGTATGTTCCAAGTCCTAAAAATGGTTGTGATATTGCCTTACCCAAAAACTTCAGGAATATAATAGTTAGAGGAATCCCCAATAAACCATAGAAGACACAGAATATCTGGCCCATAGGAGTTCTGGGAGCAATTATCCCATAACCTGATGGATGATAAAAGACAAATTTAATATCTGCTCAATATTACTACTCCTTGGAACTTTTGATGTATTTTTGTTGGTGGTGTTTTGTTATGAGAGTCCCAGCCACATACACAGCTTTTAAGAGAAAACATATAATCCAGTCATTTTACATTCAAGAATTTCTCCTAAGAGCCCTGACCGGTTTGGCTCAGTGGATAGAGCATCGGCCTGCGAACTGAAGGGTCCCAGGTTCGATTACGGTCAAGGGCATGTACCTTGGTTGCGGGCACATCACCAGTGGGGGGTGTGCAGGAGGCAGCTGATCGATGTTTCTCTCTCATCGATGTTTCTAACTCTCTATCCCTCTCCCTTCCTCTCTGTAAAAAAATTAATAAAATACATTTTTTTTAAAAAAGAATTTCTCCTAAGAAAATCATCAGAAAAGTGAGAAGTGTGTAAGATGATCACTAAAGCAGTACTTGAGTAAAAAAATTAGAACATAAATATTTCTAAGCATTAGAAAAGATATGCTGAGTAAAATGGCCCAATAAAATTATTTGCAATCTTTAAGGAGTGCAAGTATATTCAATGATATGAAAAATTTATTATATATTTCTGAGTAAAAATATATTTTTTGTGTATTTCACTATAACCATTTATGACACATATTTATGGGATAAAGAAAAGAAAAATATGAAATTTGCTACTTTGTGTAGACTTGAATAAGCCAATCCCTGTTACTGAATCTAATTTTAATTTACATGTCAGTATTTGCTGTCTTATGTACAGCACAAAATTTAACAAAATCTTATTTCTCTAAATTATGGATTTGGGGTTGCTTTTATGAAAAATATTCTATATACACACATAATTGCTGACCTAAACAATTTTGTCCCTTTTATGCTCAGGGCTCTTAAATTCAATTTTTATCTTCATTGACATAAAAAGGAGAATAAGAATGCTATTACACACACACACAGGAAGAATGCTTTACCAAAGTTTCAGTTTTTCATGGAGTTTACACAAAAGCTTCCTTGGCTGCCTGTTGTAATATTTTAAACAGCCTGGCAATGTCAAAGCCATTACAAGTGAGAAGTTTATGCCCACTTTAAGTCATACCTGAAGACAAATGAATTCATAGTTTGCCTTGACCCACATTTGCTTAAAATAATTTGTTTTAAGAATAAAGACCTAGCCAGTTTGGCTCAGTGGATAGAATGTCGGCCTGCCGACTAAAGGGTTCCAGGTTTGATTCCAGTCAAGGGCACATACCCAAATTGCAGACTCAATCCCCAGGAGGGAGCATGCAGGAGGCAGCCAATCAATGATTCTCTCTCATCATTGATGTTTCTATCTCTCTCTTCCTCTCCCTTCCTCTAAGAAATCAATAAAAAAATGTTTAAAAAAAAAAAAAGAATAAAGGCAGCCTGGCTGGCCTGGCTGGCCTTGCTCAGTGGTTGAGCATTGACTTACGAACCAGGAGGTCAGAGTTGGATTCCCCGTCAGGGCACATGCCCGAGTTGCAGGCTTGATCCCCAGTGTGGGGCATACAGGAGGCAGCTGATCAGTGATTCTCTCTCATCATTGATGTTTCTATCTCTCTCTCCTTTCCCTTCTTCTCTGAAATCAATAAAAATATATTTTAAGAAAACAACAACAAAGAATAAAGGCAGCGTTCCAAGATGAGGATGGAGTAGGTGGAAACTATACTCACCTCTTAAAGGGCCAATGAACAAAATTTTGTTCGCAGCAACTCACCCTAGGCTCTGGTGGAGGGAGGTGGCACAAGCTAGAGTCATGTGAGGAGTGTCTGGGGTTTGTGGCTCTGGGGAGAGAGCTGAAAGGACATCTGCCAGGATCTCTATGCTGAGTCATTCTCCCAAACTGCAGATGCCATCTTTCTTAGGTGGAGCACTCCCCTCTGTGTGGCTTCAGTCTGGTAGGAGGCAATAGCCCACCCTTGGGACTCCCTCTTGTCCCACCCTGCATAGCTTATGCCCTGCTAAGGATATAGCCAGAGGCTCTTTCAGTGACTGAGCCTAACTGGCAGCTGGCAGAAAGAGATAGGCAGAGGCAGATCTCGGGGTGCCTTAGAACTATTGTTGACCTGCTCCTGGGCTCCGTGCTTATAAAAGCAAACTTTGGTGTGCAGCTTGGTCCTTCTAGCACATACAGAGGCCACGCTAAGGCAGCACAAACTGTTGGTTGCTTGGAGCTCCAAAAAGGTTGCCCAGAGCCAAGTCACAGGCAGCGTCTGACATAGGCCTGCACTAGAGTCCCTCACAAGAGGCCCAGGGCCAACACACCCAGTGGCCAGCTTTAGACAACAAAATGATATATCTGATAAGGGTTACTATCCAAATTTATAAATAACTCAGACAACTCAACACCAAAAAAACACAAACCATCTAGTTAAAAAATGGGTAAAGGACCTGAATAGACACTTCTCCAAAGAGGACATACAGATGGCCAATTGACATTTGTAAAGATTCTCAACATCACTAATCATCAGAGAAACGCACATTAAAACCACAATGAGATATCACCTCACACCTGTCAGAATGGCTATCATCAATAAATTAATAAATAACAAGTGTTTGCAAGGATGTGGAGAAAAGGGAACCCTTGTGCACTATTGGTGGGAATGCAGACTGGTGCACCCACTGTGGAAAGCAGTATCGAGTCATCTCAAATAATTAAAAATGGAACTGCCTTATGACTCAGTGATCCTACTTCTGGGAATTTATGCAAGAAACCCAAAACACTAATTCAAAATAATATATGCATTCCTATGTTCATTGCAGCATTATTTACAATAGCCAAGATTTGGAAATAGCCCGAGTGTTCACCAGTAGATGAGTGGATAAAAAAGCTGTAGTATATTTACACAATGGAATACTACTCAGCAGTTAAAAAGAAGGAAATCTTACCCTTTGGGACAGCATGGATAGACCTAGAGAACATTATGTTAAGTGAAATAAGCCAGTCAGAGAAAGACAAGTACCATATGATCTCACTCCTATTTGGAACCTAATGGGCAACATGAGTAACAAGCAAAATAGTGACAGACGCAGAGACAGAGAGCAGGCTGATAGCTCTCAGGGGTGGGAGGCTGGATGGGGCAGTGGAGGGACTGAGCCCAAAAGAAAAAAAACTCATGGACATGGACAGCAGTGTGGTGATTCCTGCGGGGAGGTTGGGTAGGAAGAGGTGGAGGAGAGTATAGGAGTATAAATAGTAATAGATAGAGGCTTGACTTGGGGCGGTGAACACACAATACAATATACAGGTGATGTGTTGTAGAATTGTGCATCTGAAACCTGTATGACTTTGTTAACTAGTTTCACCCCAATAAATTCAATAAAAAGGAAAAAAAATAAAGGCAAAAAGTAGGCTTATTGAATCTTTTCAGAACTGCAAAGTAGGACTGCCTTCATTCTTCAGGCAAGGTGGTACATTGATTCTATCTCAATATAAAAATATCAGAGCATCAAGATGATAGAGAATGGCCAAATGTTTTCAACTCCCTTAATTCCTTGTTGAACAGCGCCCTTGAATGCTGTTAGAGCTGCCTGAAGCTAAGAGGCTTCATCTGCTGTGGCCCAGAGCTGGAGTGGCTCACTGGGCTTGGGGATCCGATGACAAAATGCATGCCCACCATTCAATTGGGCCTCTGTGAGCAGGCCATGCCACAAGGTAAGAGGGATGTTCAGACCCCTGATGTTATTCCATGGGCAGAAACCATGGGTCATGTGATATCCAATACCAGCATTCTGACCTCATTCAACCCCATGAAATTCAAGATTCTCCCAATTCTTTCATTGAACTATAATAAGCAAGTGAGAATGATTTCTGAACAAACACAACCATTTTGCTGGGGGTTGGCAGGCATGTAACACTCTCCATAACTGTGAATATGCATCCTATTTTTAGTAAGGGAAAATAGATTTGAGCATGCTGTCCTTGAGAATAACAGTCATCACTTATTAACCTTCTCTGTTTCCACAAAAAGGAAAATTCCATGGTGGTGCCAAAGGTCTCTGGCAGTCTGAAGTGGTATTATCCAGGAATCTCCTGAGGGTCTTTGGCTACAGCTATCTTAAGCTATGCTTATTTTTTTATAAACCCTAATGGCTCTTAGTTGATAATAAAATACCTTAGAATTATCTAAAGTTTAGCAGGAACCTGTGGTTTTTAAAATCACACAATCCTCTAGCTAAATTTTTCCTGAATTTAAGAGAAACAAGTAGACATCATCATTCTACCAGAAGTCCTAGAAAACTCTGGCTGGTTCTGGGGTTTGCTACGTATTTAAGCAATATGTTGGAAGACTAGATGGAAATCCCATTGCCAATGCCACCCACTAAGCAGGGGTCCTCAAACTTTTTAAACGGGGGGCCAGTTCACTGTCCCTCGGACCGTTGGAGGGCTGGACTATAGTTTAAAAAAAAACTATGAACAAATTCCTATGCACACTGCACATATCTTATTTTGAAGTAAAAAAACAAAACGGGAACAAATACAATATTTGTATTTGCATGTGGCCCGCGGGCCGTAGTTTGAGGACCCCTGCACTAAAGAGAAAAGGCTCATAGACTTTGTTATCAAAGAGAAAAAGGATTTAAAAATACAAAATAGAGGGGAGGCTACATGTATTGATGAAACATCATCTTAAAAACAAAAGCAGGGAGAAGCAGGCTGGAGTTTGAGAGGTCCTGTTGGCTTTGGAAGATTCTTCAATCAGTATGTCAACCAACACAGATGTTTCTCTTTCTTCATATGATGAAGGTTGGGGATCTAAATTTATCCGAAAAGCTAAAGAGGCAGCATTTGTCCCTATTGGAATGGCAGGCTTTGCAGCAGTCATTGCATATGGACTACATAAATTGAAGAACAGGGGAAATACTAAAATGTCCACATGCATGTGACAGCCCAAGGTTTTGTTGTGGGAGCAATGACTCTTGGCATGGGCTATTCCATGTATAAGGAATTCTGGGTGAAACCTAAACCATAGCAGAAGAGATGCTGTCTTGGTCTTGTTGGTGGTGTTTGCTATAGTTAGACATCTCACAGTGAGGTTATATGTTTATGTTGAAAATAAATCATTTGAGAGGGTCAGACAATAACACATTAATTTGAATATTGGCTTCCTTTTTTGCAGGCTTGGTTTGCCAGGTGACTAAATTACTAGTGACTAGTTCACGAGCTAGGTCATTCAGGGGAGTCAGCTTAGCACATAAGAAACATACCACTTTTAAATGCACTTGATAGTGGTAAAATGTCCACCTTGTTAAATTCTTCTGGTGAAATTAGTTCTAAGCAAGAACAATATGCCAATCCTGAAATACTCCCAGTTGCTGCAGAATCTCACATGCATTTGATGTTATGTAGGCATCCTGTTTGCCCCAGTTACTTTGACTTTTCTGCCTGCCTCATGGACTGAATGAGGACTTCAGTTGTTAGGGCTTGTTGGCTCTTAAAGAACCCTTTCAGAATAGTAGATGGCATATAATGTTACAAACCTCCCCAACTGGACATGTGTGTGTGTATTTAAACCAAATCTAACATGCTGATAACAGCTGCTAGAAGGTAGTATTTATTTTATAGTCACACTTGTAAACATAAGATAATATGGATCCCAGTTTAGCTCTTTTCTAATTGCAGAATTATAGTTTTGCTGCTGTTATATTAGAATATTTTTTAAATGTCACCTTGAAATAAATATATGTCTTTAAAGTGCTAACACAAAGGTAATGAAAAAACAGTTTTTAAATATGTGCAGTATGTTCATTTTCTCTGTAAGAATCATAAATGTTAAAGTAAACAAATTATCTATAATGAAAGTGATGAATGATTCAAGAGCAAGCTCTGGAAAGACATTATACAAAAACTTTGGTGTACTACAGGCGGCTTTATTGCACTTGTGAAATTCTAACCTGAATTACATTCCATGGTGATAACATGGTAAATGTAGTGTTATTAAAGTAAGTGAACACACACACACAATGCAGGTTCTGAATTTGGAGGTAGAAGGGGTATGGTTCATGTAGAGAAAGTTCTAGCTGTGATAAAAATTTTAATAATTGGCATCCTAAGTAAAAAAATTAAATTGAACATAAAGTATCTTACTTACCTATTGTGGTTAGTGTTGATGCCACAAATGAAAAAGAGTTTACTAATGTCCAACTAACATAAACTGTTTCATTTTTTATGGGGATTACTCCATATTTTACAGCCAAACTCAGCTTCTAAGTTAAAACAAAACAAAAAGAAGTAAGCATTATCGTGATAAATGTATGATCTTTCCCTTAAAGAATGTAGAACACAAATCCACCTTTGTGGAATTTAGATTCTAGCAGGGGAAAATAAACTTAAGCATATATAATATGTTAGGAGGCACTAAGAGATCAAGCAGGGTAGTGTAAGCTAGAACAGGAGTGCTGGGGGTTGGGGGGTAGACTAAGAAAGCCTCACTGACAAGACAAGATTTGAACAAGGACATGAAGGCAGTGAGAAAGTTTGCCAAACAAGTATTTGAGGAGAGAGAATTCCAAGCAGAAGAAACAACTACGAGCCTTAAGGTGAGAGCCTGGAATATTCTAGAAACATCCAGCAGTATGAGTATGAGCAGAACAAAGATGAGGGCAGCATAAGGGAAAAAGAAGTAAGAGAGGAAATAGAGGAGGAGCACAAGATCATGGAAGCTCAAAGAACTATAGCTTTTAATCTGAATAAATGGAGAGAGTCACTAAAAGTTTTTGAGCAAAGAAGGTGACTTATATACTTAAAAGACCACAAAAGGATCATTTTGGCTGCTGGACTTAGAAGAGAATGCAGGGTGTTCCAAGAAAATGTATGCACACTTTAACAGCTGATAGCTCAAGTTTGAAAATGAAATGTGTTTTAATGAACACTGACTCTATAATTATTCAAAGTGTGTGTAAACATTTTTGGGACACTCTATATAGTGCGCAAAGTGAAGCCAGGAGTTCTGTTAGGAGAATACGGCAAAACTCCAGAAGCTCCAGAAAGGACCAGATGGTGACTCAATGAGACCAGGTAGAACAGTGACAGTGATGAGCAGCAGTGAGATTCTGTGGTTTTGAAGCACAGCCAGTGGGAGTCTCTGGGAGATTAAAGCTGAGTACAAGAGAAAGAGAATAGTCAAGACTTTTTATCTGAGCAACTTAAAGAATGGAGTTGTCCTAGCTGGTTTTGCTCAGTGGATAAAGTCCTGGGTTCGATTCCAGTCTAGTGCACATACCTTGGTTGTAGGCTCCTCCCTGCACCAGGCCCTGGTTGGGGCTTGTGCAGGAGGCAACCAGTCTATGTGTTTCTCTCACATCAGTGTTTCTCTCTGTCTTTCCCTCTCTTTTCTACTCTCCCTAAAAGTCAGTGGAGAAATATCCTCGAGTGAGGCTTAACAAACAAACAAACAGAAAAGAATGGAGTTGCCATTAACTGAAGTAAGAAACGCTGTGGTGGTTAGGGGTAGGAGCAAATTTTCCTTTCAAAGCAAAAGAGCAGGTGTTCATTTTTGGAAATTATGAGTCTGAATATTTTGTTAAATATCTCAGTGGATATTTCAAATAGAAAAGTAGATATACAATCTGTAATGTCTGGGAAAGGCCTCAACGGGAGATAAACATTTGGGAGTTATTGGCATGTACATAGTACACAGTAAGGCCATGCATGAGATAGAAGAACCACAGAGGAAGTGAGTAAAAATAGAGAAGAAAAAATTTGAGGACTGAGCCCAGGAACCCTTTAAAATTGAGAAGAATGGAACCAGCAAAGGCAATGAAGAAGGAAGAACTGGTAAAACAGAAGGAAAATCAGAATTAGAGTGTGGTGTCTTAGGAACCGTGTGAAGAAAGTATATCAAGAAGGAGAGAGTGATCAATGTGGCAAATGATGCTGTACATTACATAAGACGAGAGCAGATTGTGAACAGATTTTAATTATTGCCCTGTTATTTAATGAGTCTGTGGAAGGCATGTGTGTAGGTTGTGGATGGAAATGGTAGACACCATGATCATTTGTTAATAGTGTACAGAGAATGGCATAGACCACATTAGGGCTACCTGTGATTTAAAGCAGTGGATTGGGCTCCTTTTCTTTCTTTCTTTCTTTCTTTTTTTTTGTTTGCCTGCTCACTTAAAACCCCATTAAAATAACACTAAAGGATACAAAATAGTAAAACACATATTGAAAAGCAGGAATCATAGGTAAATCCAAATTGTGAAGAATTTCTAAAAGAAATGAAATTGATTGCTAAAGAAACAGACAAAAAGCCTCAAACTCAAAAGAAAAATAAGGGCAAGTTGCCATGGAGGTGATGCTGCTTTTCACATAGAACTCCCAAAGGTGCTTCAAGCCCAGCCTCATTTATTAGACATGGGCCAGGTAGATATATATATATATATATATGTTATGAGAGAAAGAAAGAAGAAAGAAAGAAAGAAAGAAAGAAAGAAAGAAAGAAAGAAAGAAAGAAAGGAAGGAAGGAAGGAAGAGAAGGAAGGAGGGAGAGAAGGAAGGAGTTTTGTTTGCTATGTTCTCTAAGACTCACATAACTCTAATAGCAAAACCAGAAAAATAAATAGCATAAAATGATGATTGTACAACTCTGAATAAACTAAAAACCACTGAGTTGTAAACTTCAAGTAAGTGAATTGTATAGTATGTGAATAATATCTCAAGAAAACTGTGGGTTTGTTTTTTTAAGTGCATTGTGGTTTATGTAACCACCATCACAATAAAAATACAGAGCTATTCTATTAACAAAACACAATAATCTTCCTCATGTCAACTCCTTTATAGTCATATCCACCCCTACCCCCTCCTCTCTCACCTCTGTAACCACTAATATGTTTTCCAACTCTACAACATAGGTTTGATGCTTTTTAAAAGAATTCCAGACATGTACTCCAATTCTCTCCCCTTTCCTAGATTTTCTTAAACTACTAACCATATTTAAAGACTTTCGATAACTTCACATCCAATTATTGGTGAGTCTCTTTCTAATATCTATGGTTTCACTTAGTTTCCAGTAACCTGTTGGTACTTTTCATCATACTTCCTTTTAATTGACGGTGACCATTGTGTATGAAAGTTTGTAGATTCTCAATAATGTTATCTTCCTTCAATGAAGGTTTTGTGTGTTTTGGCAGGCGGCTGGAAGGCCATAGGTCACCTTGATCCTCTTGAGAGTTCATTTCAGCCTTTGTTGGGGCTCGCTCCATTTTCACTGTTTCTTCTAGGATGTGGTGTTTCTGGGGTCTCGACAGAGAGCCTGGGGTGTTTACCAAGTCCCTCTGATTTGGAGAGCCTGAAGTCCAATGACTGTCTTTCCAGCAGCGAAGAGCTGCTGAAGTCTCTGCAGAGATCTTTAGGATCCCAGGTGCTCCTTTCATTTGTTTCTCTAAGGTCTACTTGGCACAACTTTGGAGTCAGACAACAGCTTGAGAGGAATTCGTAGCAGGTTGGGAATGTGGGAGCTTTTGCACTCTGAGGGCTCCTCGTCTCTGGGATTTTCTCCCTCAGTTCCAACCACTGCCACAGGCCCCAACTTCTGACTCCTTGTCACTTCAACCCAGCCAGACTAGCTTTCTGCGAGGGCTCCTTGCCCTGCCACAAGCTGAGTTAACTAGGAAGCGCCTCCAGAGGAAAACCTAAGGAAATGTGGAGCTCAGCTCCTGTGCTCTCTGCAAATGGCCATGCCCTTTTGGGTCCAGCGTACTTTGCTTATACTCCCGTTTTTTCAGTCAGTCATTTTTGTGATATTTTTTGTTTTATAATTGTTACACATGGGAGAGTGAGTCCAATACCAGGCATTCTCTCTCCTGACCCTCAAGCTGTCTTTTATGGTTCCTATGCCCTTGCAGTATCTTCTCTGTCGTTATTCCTCTTTCCTGGATCTCTCTTACCCCTTTACATTCTTTTTTTTTTCCATTGATTTTTTTTCTTTATTGATTAAGGTATTATATGTGTCCTTATGGCCCATTGCCTCCCCCCGCCACTCATGCCCTCACCCCCCTGGTGTCTGTGTCCATTGGTTGGGCTTATATACATGCATACAAGTCCTTTGGTTGATCTCTCCCCCTTACCCTCACCTTCCTCTGCCTTCCCTCTGAGGTCTGGTGTTCAGATCATTGCTTCTCTGTCTCTGGATCTGTTTTTGTTCATCAGTTTATGTTGTTCATTATATTCCATAAATGAGTGAGATCATGTGATATTTATCTTTCTCTGACTGGCTTATTTCACTTAGCATAATGCATCCCTTTGCATTCTGTTGTCTTTATGACTCCTATCACTTTAAGGGCTTATCTTTCTTTTTTTTCACCTCTCTTCGGATGACAAAAAACTAGTGTTATTATTTACATAAACTTAGGTAAAACACATACGAAGGCTTTCTATAAAATCTTTTATCTACAGCTCTCTTTTACACAGTTGGCAAATTTATAACTCTCAAAGCAAAACCCCTTTAGCTCTTACCTGCAAAAAGACTTCAAGTTCTTCTGGAGTTATGTTGGCATAGTTTCTCATGAAAGTTTCTCTGGCAACCTCAAAGGTATTTCTCAAGTCTTCCTGAGTGTCCATCTCCAATGCTTGAAATATCTTTGCCCCCATCAAGTAGTAGCCGAATAAACCAATCAACAGTATGCACCTAGAGACTTGAGAAGCAACCAGATCTATTAGAAAACTGAAGACTAATGGAATGAGAGGCACAGGAGGTCAAAGTGCATTAATATAAAAGGTCTCTTTCCCCAAAATAAAACAATTACAAAAAGCACACTCTTTCCTATAAAAAAAATAGCAATTTTGAATTTAAACAAATATACAAAAGTAAGCAATCCCAAAATGCTCATGGCAAAATGAAATTTGAACTTCAATTGCATCCTGACATGAAACTGAAAATTCAAGGGGAAAAAAATGTTTCTGGGGAATGTTAGTTAATTTAAGAGTAGAGAAGGGGACTTTGTCAAATATTATTGTTTAATCACTCATATACTGGCATGTAGACGCAGGTAAGTCCAATACAAGCATTCTTGGGGAGATGATTAGTGTAGGTTCAAAAATATTTATTATTAGTTAGCATACTCAATCCAAATGAATTTGGATAGATTATCTACCCTGAGGTTTCTTTTTCCAGTTCTCATTTCTCATTCCCCTCCTTGCTGCTCAGCATGAAGAAATAAAAACCACCTACGGAGTGGACAGATAACCATGACCTTGATGAGGCCTGATTCTAATATTACGATAAGACAGCCAAGTGATTATCTTCATTATCAGAGAAACTCTTTGAATATATACTTGATTTTTACATAGCTGTTCCTTCAGATCAAACCTGCCTCCCCACCAATCTCTTTCATCAGAAACTGAGTCAGATCTCAACAGTTACCCCATCACCCTTGACACATGGGATAACTTGGTTATTGTGTGATTTATGAACAATATCCTAATACTTTGGAAGTGTCATAGTCATAACAACTAGAAACACTTCCTCAAATGGGTTCATATTAAAGCCAATATACCAAGTTGAGTAAATACTATAAAATACCAAATACACCAATATAAAGCTAGATGAAAAGATATTTCTTCAAAGCACAACAAATGTAATCTGTATTCAGATAGTTCAACTTCTGTTAAAATAATAAAAGTGGTATTTAATTTTCTGGCAGAAAATTAGGATTATATTGTCTGCCAGTCTATGTTTAAAGTGAAGAATACAGTTGACCCTTGAATAAAACAGGTTTCAATGGTGTGGGTCAACTTATATGCAGATTTTTTTCAATACCTGTATTGTTTTCTATTTGTGATTGGGAGTCAGTGGATGAGGAGGGCAGACTGCATACATTGAACTACATCATTTTATATAGGACACGTGAACATCCACAGATTTTGGTATTTGTGGTGGTCTTGGAACCAAGTCCCTGTAGATATTGAGGGACAATGTAAGTTTTTAGGGAGTCAAAAGTTATATGTGGAGTTTTTACTGCAGTGGGGGGTGAAGGGTAGAGGTGATGGTAGTGAGGGGGTCAGCACCCCTACAGCTGCACTGCTCAAGGGTTAATTGTAATATTAGATTTCAAAAAGAAAGTGACTGGTCTAGCTGGTGTGGCTTAGTGGTTGAGCATTGACTTATGAACCAGGAGGTCATGGTTTAATTCCTAGTCAGGGCTCATGCCCAGGTTGCTGGCTTGATCCCCAGTGGAGGTGGAGAGAGGCGTGTAGGAAGCAGCCAGTCAATTATTCTCTCTCATCTTTGATGTTTCTATCCCTCTCTCCCTTTCCCTCCTCTCTCTCTCTCTCTCTCTCTCTCTCTCTCTCTCTCTCTCTCTCTCTCTCTCTCTCAGTAAAAGCATTATTTTTAAAACATTTATTATACTATGAGGAGAAAACAACCCCAGGGAAGTCTTTACCCAGATTAGGCCAGAGCTTATCAGGCTAAGCTTCCACTCAAATAAAGCATCTACAAGCAATCCTACCTGTCAAGGAAAAACCTTTCTCTCTCTTTCTCATGGTGTGCTTAGGTGATGCGCCCTTGGCATCTGAGTGGTGATATAGAACCCTCCTAAGTGACCTCATATCAAACCACCATTCTTTCTGGAACCTTGGGAGAAGCTAGTTCTCTAGGCCAGCGGTTCTCAACCTGTGGGTCGCGACCTCTTTTCCGGTCAAATGACCCTTTCACAGGGATCGTCTAAGATAGTGGTCGGCAAACTGCGGCTCGCAAGCCACATGTGGCTCTCTGGCCCCTTGAGTGTGGCTCTTCCACAAAATACCAACTTCTGCACATGGGCCACGAAGTTTCAATCACACTGTACGTGTGCACCCAGACGTGGTATTTTGTGGAAGAGCCACACTCAAGGGGCCAAAGAGCCGCATGTGGCTCGCGAGCTGCAGTTTGCCGACCACTGGTCTAAGACCATCCTGCATATCAGATATTTACATTATGATTCATAACAGTAGCAACATTACAGTTATGAAGTAGCAACGAAAATAATTTTATGGTTGGGTCACAACATGAGGAACTGTATTTAAAGGGCCAGAAGGTTGAGAACCTCTGCTCTAGACAGTCTCTCTCTCCTCAGGTACAACAGATTAGTTTCCTGTGGCTGCTCTAACAAACTATTACAACACAAATTTATGATTACAATTCCAGAGGTCATGCATGCAAAATGGGTCTCACTGAGCTAACGTCAAGGTATTGGCAGGGCTGGAGGCACTAGACAGTGATGGCGAACCTATGACACGCGAACTCATTTTTTTGGTTGATTTTTCTTTGTTAAATGGCATTTAAATATATAAAATAAATATCAAAAATATAAGTCTTTGTTTTGCTATGGTTGCAAAGATCAAAAAATTTCTATATGTGACACGGCACCAGAGTTAAGTGAGGGTTTTTCAACATGCTGACACGCCGAGCTCAAAAGGTTCGCCATCACTGGCCTAGGAGAATATGTTTCCTTACCTTTTCCAACTCATAGAGACCGTCTGCATTCCTTGGCTCGCGCCTCTCCCTCCATCTTCAAAGTCAGCAGCATAGCATCTTCAAGTCTCCTCTTATGCTGACTCTCCTTGCAGGGCCCTTCTGAATACAGTGTGCCCACCCTGGTAATCCAGAGTATCTCCCTGTCTCAAGGTCAGCTGATTGGCATCCCAAATCCTTTTCTTGCCAATAAGATGACATGTATATGAAGCAAAATAATACAATTAAAAATCTTGGCTCAAGTTAAGGACTCATTAAATGTAACTATTTTTACTATCATACAAATGACTAAGGTATAGGGACCAAAGCATAGTAGATGGCCACTAAATTCAAAGAATAACTATTAATAAGTGATGACTATTATTAATCAGAATAACTAATATCGTTAATGTGGGTCCTGCATTGGATTCTTCTTGGAATTTCTCACAGTAATTTTACAGTGATATATTGTGGTTATATATCATTGCAGATATAATATATATATAGGTATGCAATATATGTCTGCTATATGGATTAGTTAGCAATCAATTGGCAAAAAGTGATATATACCCAACTCAGATTTTCTTAAAAAAAATATATATGCCCTGGTCAGTTTGGCACAGTGGATAGAGCATCGGCCTGCAGACTGAAGGGTCCTGGGTTTGATTCTGGCCAAGGGCCCATGCCTGGGTTGTGGGCCCAGCCTCTGATCAATGATTCTTTCTCATCATTGATGTTTCTATCTCTCTCTCCTCCCTTCTTCTCTGAAATCAATAAAAATATATTTTTTAAAAATGGGAAATTTATCAAGCACATATCTGAAAATCAAAGCATGGATGACCCTGGGGCAGACATTATCAGTACTTGCCCAAACATTATCTCTCTGTAGTAAAAGTCCCAGGCCTTTAATTTAACTTTGGGAGCAGGCTATCAAGCAGGGTGAGGCAGAGTGTCAAAGAGTTAATGTCCCTGAAAGCAACCACGAACCAAAAATACATGGGGAGATGGTGAGTAACTTCTCCAGCTTCCTCACCCCTCAGAGAGGGTGACTCAGGTATGTCCTGTACTGTCTCCCAAGTTCCTTAGTGGGATTAAGCCCCGGTGCCCACTATATTAATATGCCTGAAAATGCATTCTTTATGTTCTTCCTTCACTTCTCAATCTCATTTCCCCACCTCCTCACCAGTATTTACTGGGTTCACCTCCCAAATAAATTATTTGTATTCAATTTCATGGCATTCCCCCAACATTTAAACAGCAACTGTAACCCCACCAGGTGTCATAACAGGGTCTTAATGAGGCATTCCACCAGGTAAGGTCAGAGTGATGAGGAATAAACTCAGAGTCAGAGATGGAGAGAAACATGGAATTATTAGGGAATCAACAGATGATAGAATTCACTCTAATGATTTCATAATCTCTTAATCTTAGTTTTAGGGGAGGTGGGTAACCAATTTAATTGTAGTGTCCTTCATGAGACTAGTCTATTAGGAATCTTGAACAAGACAAATGAGGAATGTTGAAGAGGTGGGAGTGGATCAGGGGAAGGCACCCTGATTAACAATATTAATTATTCTGATTAATAATAGTCATCACTTATTAATAGCTATTCTTTGAATTTAGTGGCCATCTGCTATACTTTGGTCCCTATACCTTAGTCATTTGTATGATACTAAAAATAGTTACATTTAATGAGTCCTTAACTTGAGCCAGGAGCTGGGAGAGGTAATTCCTTCCAGAGGGCCCCCCCCCCCCCACAGTCACATCTGAAGGGCATTGGAGAGTAAATGTTTCTTGGGGACTACGGAGCTTGTTTGTGCAGCTTGCTTCCTGTTGGACCGTATTTACAAACCCAGAGGTTGCTTAGAGAGACAGACATACTATGTATGAAATCATAAGTTCACACTAATATTTCTAATTCATAAAATACCACAGATCTTTCACCTCTTATCCCACTCCGAGTACCACCTTTATCGCTAAGAGCCTGTTTCCCAACAATATCAATATCTATATTTATCTATTCTCATTTGTTCAATTCTAAAATATGCACAAATAATTTCAAAATTACCATGTCAATACCGCTACTAACAAAAATTCTACTAAGTAATTTAATTTTTTACAGTTCTTTTTGGCTTTGAAATATATTCCACTGAGGGTATACATCAATGTACTACACTTAAATTTCAACTTAGATTAATTATTTTTGTTCTGTCTGTGTGGTTATGTTAGCATTTTGATGTACATTGAGGTTCATTTCTGTTTGTATTCAGTTTCAAATTTTTTTAATACTTTCTAGCTTATCAATTACTTTTGATCAAGAGAAACACCAATAAAGACCTATTTCCCAAAGAAAGAGATTATAAGGAAAAGGCTAATGTCCTTATTGTTCAAGGTGCACTTATACACCAAGAAAAAAAGTAGACAAAAGACAAACACAGAAATTAACCAAAAAAGTTATAAATGGTCTATGAATTAATGGGACCTACCTCACTGTGCTGTTCTGAGAGGAAAATACGATGTGTGGTTATTATAGTGATTGCCACACCATAAGTCCTAAATAAATACTAGTGATAATGATTATCATGGTCATTGTTATTAGGAATAACCTAAAAATAAAACAATGATGTGCCATTCTTTTACATGTCAGATTAGGCAAATTTTAAATTTTTAATGTAATTATAATACATAATATTGGGGATAATATTAAGGAAATAACCATTCTCATGAATTTTTTTAGAAATATAAATGATCTTATTGAAGGGCAAATTAACAATATATATTTAAAAAAACTTTAATGTTTTGAAAATTCTTACCCAGCCATTGCATTTTGAGGCAATTATTTTAGGGTATACTCAAATAAATGTACAAGATGTATGTACAAGGATGCTTGCAGGCCAAACAAAAACGATCCAGACATAAACTAAAGGGTTATCTATTTTTTTAAATTGGCTAAATAAGTTATGATCCAGCCTGTTTTAATTTTCTTTAGTCCCCCTGAACAGTTCAGTTATTTTAAGCTCTTTTACCACCATATTTTTAAAAAGGAAAATCATTCTAATTATTGCATCTAAAAACATATTAAAGCTATAGCTATTGCCAGTGACATTCCCCCCTGTCCCCAAACTTACTCACCCTTGTCCTAATTAAAGACTTCCATGGACCCGGCTGGCGTGTCTCAGTGGTTGAGCATCAACCTATAAACCAGGAGGTCACATTTCAATTCCAGGGCACATGTCCGGGTTGCAAGCTCAATTCCCAGTGTGGGAGGTGCAGGAGGCAGCCGATCAATAATTCTCTCTCATCATTGATGTTTCTATCTCTCTCCCTCTCCCTCTCTGAGATCAATCATTATATGTATATATATATATACTCTTTCATGGGTCCAGGTATGTTTCTCTCCAGAATGGATGTATCTTACTTCCGGGTCATCTACGTAAGTCCAGGGGCTTTGCAAGTTTAAATGACTTAGGAGGAAAAGTTTGAGCAGGGTCCATCCCGGTAAGATAGAGGTAATACCGACAGTGTACCCAGGGCTCACGGCATTTACAATGTCTCTCCAGATTCTGTCCGCCTGCATAGGTCACTTTTTATCCCAGATCAAGGCTATCATCAGGAGGAACAGGGGCAGTATGTCTCCGGCATATATTTCACTTTAAGACTCAGAAGAGAGGAGTAAGTCAAACTAACATTGGCTCAACGATCTTATCCACGATAGGGAGACAAGTCTAGTAAATCAAAATAGTCTGCTGCCTGGGTCCTGCTGACCTTCACAAAACTATCTTTTAATTCATGGGAATTTATTATCTTAACTCTGAATATGAGAATGGCCCTGATTGCTATATTTTTACAAGAAGAGGAAAAACATCTGTAGAGGAAAGTTTTCACTTACAGACAGAATGCTGTTCACCATCATAAGCCCAACTCCCAAGTTAGATCACTACAATCCGAATGTTAAAAACTGTCACGACACCATAGAATGGAATCCTACACAGCCATTGAGAGAGATGATGTCGAGCTATATTGGTTGATATACAAATATATGTTGGTAAAT